ACAGACAGACAGACAGACAGATAGATAGATAGATAGATAGATTTTCTCTGTATTTTGCAGGATGCCACACAGCGCGCGCCGGCGTGCTTGAGTTGCCATGGTAACCTGCTCTTTTTCAGCCCGCGAGAAGCGCAAGATGATGTCAGGTTGTCGGTGGTGACGGAGACGCGGGCGGACAGCGCGTGCTCCGGATCCTCGTTCACTCGCGTTGACTGCGGCGGCGGCGGAGCCTCCATCAGCATGACTGGCGTGCTGTGGATTACTTTCACTGCGTGTTGAAGCGGGAACGAGACGCGCCATGGCTGAGAGGTAAACACGACGCGTGTGAAATGAAACGCGGTGATTTATTAGAAATGCGCGAGGCTTGCTTGCCGAGCGACGGTCACCCGGTTGCACGAGCATCGGCGGCATCATTTGCATCACTTAAATTACATATGATGTGTGTTCATGTAGCGATGTGCATGCCTTTAGTTTGACACCCTCCACACCCATAAGCCGATTTTCTGTCGTTCCTCCGTGAAGACGCGCAACGCACCTAGCGAACGCATCCCCCAGAGGCGCGATGCGATGAGAGGACGCGCAGCAGCCTATTTTAAGCAAAATGTCATGAAGGGGATGCAGACACCTGCGGCACGCGAGCCGCGATGTCCTTGTCCGCGAGTCTTGTGGTATTTAATTATTCATGCTTAGTGTTGAGGAAGTCAGCGATCCATGTGGGAATGTGAAGTGTCATTTTTATTGGAAGCCACCCTGTGTTTATCAAACAAAGCATTGGCCATGAAACAGATGCACTGGGATGGTCAGGGACCCTCTGCGTGGCCGCTATCATATATATATATATATAAATAGCCTATATATATGTTGTGACCCTGGACCACAAAACCAGTCATAAAGGGCCATTTTTGTGAAATTGAGATTTATACATCAATGAATAAATAAGCTTTCCATTGATGTATGGTTTGTTAGGATAGGACAATATTTGGCTGAGATACAACTATTTGAAAATCTGGAATCTGAGGGTGCAAAAAAATCTAAATATTGAGAAAATCATCTTTAAAGTTGTCCAAATGAAGTTCTTAGCAATGCATATTACTAATCAAAAATTAAGTTTTGATATATTTACACTAGGACATTTACAAAATATCGTCATGGAACATGAGCTTTACTTAATATCCTAATGATTTTTGGCATAAAAGAAAAATGGATAATTTTGACCCATACAATGTATTGTTGGCTATTGCTACAAATATACCCCAGCGACTTAACACTGCTTTTGTGCTCCAGGGTCAGGTATGTATGTATCTGAAATGGGCGTCATGAAAATTCACACCCATCCCTGTGACAAACCTGGCTTTGTAAACAGCAATTTTTTTTTGTACCAATCAGAAAATGTATCCAATCAGAAATGTTCAGTACCTGTCTATCATTTTGCATGCTCAGGTTATAGTTCGCAAAAGTCAGGTTCCAGAAGTAAAAATCCCATTCATTTTCTCCATAGAGGAGTTGATTTGTAATGCTAAATCTTTCAAGACTGACCTACGGTGAGCTACGAGGTTGTTAATCGATGGTTTATGCGTTAGTTGAAGCCATCAGCCTGCATTATTTAAACTTAATTTTAAAAACGACATTTCCCATGATTCTGCAAAGAAATCTCCACCAATCAGAGAATCGTGACAAGCAAATTGCACAAAATGAGCCCCACCCACTCCCGTGAAGCACTGCGAATGACATATTGATTTTTCAGATTAATCACAATCTTCATCTTGATTCTTTAAATCCCAAGATCGACCTTAATTTGCCAGTGTTTCCTTATGCACATCTGCTTTTGAATCTGCAGTTATGTAGTCATATTGTTTCACTGTCCAAATTAGATTTACAGTTGAATTTGATAAGATTGTTTATAAGGATGTTTATCGTAAAAGATGCCAAAAAAAAAACACCTGCATTGAGCTGTGCTCATGAGATGCATACAATAACATACAGAGTGACTCTGTAGTTCAGTTCATGAATAAATGACTCTTCTAAATAAGATCTTTTTAGTGAATCAAAAGCATACAGCACAACCAATGTAGTCCAATTCACAAACAAATGACTCTCTTGAATCGGCCCTTTATAGTAAACCAGAAACATACAGTGCAAACTGTGTAGTCCAATTCATGAACAAATTATTATTTTACATCGGCTCTTTTTAGTGAATCAAAAACACACAGCTCAACCAATGTAGTCCAATTAACAAACAAATGACTCTCTTGAATCGGCTCTTTTTAGAGACTCAAAAACATACAGCACAACCAATGTAGTCCAATTCACGAACAAATGATTCTTTTAAATCGGCTCTTTTTAGTGAATCAAAAACATACGGCACAAACATTGTAGTCTAATTCATGAACAAATAATTCTTTTAAATCGGCATTTTTTTAGTGAATCAAAAACATACAGCACAACCAAAGTAGTCCAATTCATGAACAAATTATTCTTTTAAATCGGCTCTTTTTAGTGAATCAAAAACATACAGCACAACCAATGTAGTCCAATTCACAAACAAATGACTAACTTGAATCGGCTCTTTTTAGTGAATCAAAAACATACAGCACAACCAATGTAGTCCAATGAACAAACAAATTACTCTCTTGAATCGGCTCTTTTTAGTGACTCAAAAACATGCTAGTGCTGTTGGTCTCACAAATAAATAATCTAATGAACGGTTTTTAGTGACTCAAACGCATGTAGCACAACCAGTCAATTTCCCAAACAAATGACTGAATCGGTTATTTTAGTGAATCAAACACATACAGCGCAAAGGAAGTCTGTTTTTCAAACAAATGACTCTAATGAGCTGGTTCTTTTTAGTGAATCAAAAACATACAGCACAACCAATGTAGTCCAATTCACAAACAAATGACTCACTTGAATCGGCCCTTTATAGTAAACCAGAAACATACAGTGCAAACTGTGTAGTCCAATTCACGAACAAATTATTCTTTTACATCGGCTCTTTTTAGTGAATCAAAAACATACAGCACAAATAGTGTAGTCTAATTCATGAATAAATGACTAACTTGAATCGGCTCTTTTTAGTGAATCAAAAACATACAGCACAACCAATGTAGTCCAATTCACAAACAAATGACTCTCTTGAATCGGCTCTTTTTAGTGAATCAAAAACATATGGCACAAACAGTGTAGTCTAATTCAGGAACAAATTATTCTTTTAAATCGGCTTTTTTTAGTGAATCAAAAACATACAGCACAACCAATGTAGTCCAATTCACAAACAAATGACTCTCTTGAATCGGCTCTTTTTAGTGAATCAAAAACATATGGCACAAACAGTGTAGTCTAATTCAGGAACAAATTATTCTTTTAAATCGGCTTTTTTTAGTGAATCAAAAACATACAGCACAACCAATGTAGTCCAATTCACAAACAAATGACTCTCTTGAATCGGCTCTTTTTAGTGAATCAAAAACATATGGCACAAACAGTGTAGTCTAATTCAGGAACAAATTATTCTTTTAAATCGGCTTTTTTTAGTGAATCAAAAACATACAGCACAACCAATGTAGTCCAATTCACGAACAAATGACTCTCTTGAATCGGCTCTTTATAGTAAACCAGAAACATACAGCACAACCAATGTAGTCCAATTCACGAACAAATTATTCTTTTAAATCGGCTCTTTTTAGTGAATCAAAAACATACAGCACAACCAATGTAGTCCAATTCACGAACAAATGATTCTCTTGAATCGGCTCTTTATAGTAAACCAGAAACATACAGTGCAAACATTGTAGTCCAATTAACAAACAAATGATTCTTTTAAATTGGTCCTTTTGAGTGAATCAGAAACATACGGCACAAACAGTGTAGTCTAATTCATGAACAAATTATTCTTTTAAATCGGCTTTTTTTAGTGAATCAAAAACATACAGCACAACCAATGTAGTCCAATTCACAAACAAATGACTCTCTTGAATCGGCTCTTTTTAGTGAATCAAAAACATATGGCACAAACAGTGTAGTCTAATTCAGGAACAAATTATTCTTTTAAATCGGCTTTTTTTAGTGAATCAAAAACATACAGCACAACCAATGTAGTCCAATTCACAAACAAATGACTCTCTTGAATCGGCTCTTTTTAGTGAATCAAAAACATATGGCACAAACAGTGTAGTCTAATTCAGGAACAAATTATTCTTTTAAATCGGCTTTTTTTAGTGAATCAAAAACATACAGCACAACCAATGTAGTCCAATTCACAAACAAATGACTCTCTTGAATCGGCTCTTTTTAGTGAATCAAAAACATACGGCACAAACAGTGTAGTCTAATTCATGAACAAATTATTCTTTTAAATCGGCTTTTTTTAGTGAATCAAAAACATACAGCACAACCAATGTAGTCCAATTCACAAACAAATGACTCTCTTGAATCGGCTCTTTATAGTAAACCAGAAACATACAGTGCAAACATTGTAGTCCAATTAACAAACAAATGATTCTTTTAAATTGGTCCTTTTGAGTGAATCAGAAACATACGGCACAAACAGTGTAGTCTAATTCATGAACAAATTAGTTTTTTAAATCATTTCTTCATAGTGAATCAAAAACCTACATCGCAGCCAGTATAGTCCAATTCACGAACAAATGATTCTATCATTATCATTACTTTGAGTGAGGGAATATTTTATTAAAACATCTGATATGTTAATATTATTGTAAAAAAAGTAATAGTTCTGTTCAATTCTGAATCAGAATTGAATCAAATCAAACTGAATCGAACTGAGCTGTGAAATCAGTATGGATCCCAGCCCTGGTGTTCATCAGAGAGGCGTTTGATGTTTGATGTTTGAGTTTCAGTCCGTGGATGTGGATGTGGATGTAGGCAGAGGTTGGGTGTGTAAATGGGTGAAACCACAGCTGGGTGGAGCGCAGGCGTGTTTGGCCCTGCTCTCGTGAGTCATTCTCAGAGATCACAGGCTCAACGATTGCTGAGCTTTTAGTATGTTTTGAACTTAATTTTTATTTTTATATTTTAAGTTTTCAATTTAATTTTGAGTAATTTCATCATTTTTATTAGTTTTTGTTTTTTAAATATTTCGATTTAGCTTTATTTATTAGTACTTAACTTATTTGATCTAATATGTGTATTTTATATTTTTATTACATTTTATATTTTATTATATTTTATTTTTCAGCTTAATTTCAAGTAGCAGAAAAACGCACTTTTGTGATTTTTATTTTTTTTAAATAGTTCTATTTAGCTTTAATTCTCAGTTTTAATGCAAGTAATTTTAATTCTTTAACTTA